GAGTCTCACTTCGTTGCCTAGGCTGGAGTGCAGTGGCACACTCACAGCTACCCCAGTGTCAACCTGCTGGGCTCTGGCGATCCTTCCGCCTCAGCCTTCCAAGTAGCTGGAACTACAGGCATGTGCTACCATGCCTAGCAAATTTTTTATTTATTGTAGAGATGAAGTCTTGCCAAGTTGTCCAGGCTGGTCTTGAATCTGTGGGCTGAGGCAATCCCACTTGCCTCGGCCTCCCGAAGTGCTGGGATTACAGGTTGAGCCACCGAGCCCAGCCCCAAATATATATTTTTATAAAACAAAACCAAACGCGGCATTTTCTCACTCATATATGGGAGCTAAATGGTCACAAAGATGGAAATAATAGACCCTGGGAAGACCAATGAGGGAGGAGAGGACTTAGGGCTTAGAAGCTACCTATGGGGCACAAATGTTCACTATCTGGAAAACAGGCCACCTGAGACCCAGTTTCCACCATATATAATAAGTTCATGTAACAAATATGCATGTGAACCCCCACATCTAATACAAAATATTTTTAAAAATCTAATAGTCTAAAAAAATGTATATTTCTGTAAAAGGTAGGATGAAACAGACTAATCAAGTCTCTAGATATACATCTTTGCTGACTCACTGGGCAAGTTACTCATTGGGAAATGGAAACCTGAAGACATCTGTGAAGTGGGGCTAAAACCTCCCTCTGTGCTGTGGGATTCAATGAAATGAAGTGTATGAAGCAGCCCACTTGTTAATGCTTAATGGTCAGTACATACAAATTTTTTTTTTGAGGTGGAGTCTCACTCTCGCCCAGGCTGGAGCGCAGTGGCGTGCATATGGCCACTGCATCCTCCACCTGCGGGGCTCAGGCGATCTTTCTACCTCAGCCTTCTAGGTAGCTGGAACTATAGGTGTGCGCTACCACGTCTGGCTAATTTTTTGATTTATTATAGAGACGAGGTCTCCCCAAGTTACCCAGACTGGTCTCGAACCCCTGAGCTCAGGCAATCCTCTCGCCTCAGCCTCCCAAAGTGCTGGGATTACAGGCTTGAACCACCGCACCTGGGTTTAGGCAATGTTGAGATGACCGCTCATTGTGTATATTAAATCCATGCTATTTCCTTTCAGTCATAACAGTTTGTTACCAAAAAATGTGTCACGATTCTAGTTTCAAGTCAACAATTGACAAGAAATTTAACATTTAAAAAAAGTATTTATCAATTTCAAAGTTAATCTAGTTGATCTATGTCTATATACACTAAATACTTTTATCATAGTTAAGCAGAAGTGAAGTTTGATTATTTATTTTTGAGTTTGAGGCTCACTCTGTCTCCCAGGCTGGAGTGTAGTGGCATGCTCACGACCACTGCAGCCTTGACCTGCTGGGCTCAGGAGATCCTTCTGCCTCAGGCTCCAAGTAGCTGGAACCACAGGTGTGCACCACCATGCCCAGATGATTTTTTTGATTTATTGTAAAGATGAGGTCTCACCAAATTACCCAGGCTGGTCTCAAACTGGTGGGCTCAGGCAATCCTCTCGCCTCTGCCTCCCAAAGTGTTGGAATTACAGGTGTGAGCTACCATGTCTAGCTTAAGTTTGATTATTAGGGCCGGGCTCGGTGACTCAGCCTGTAATCCTGTGCTTTGGGAGGCTGAGGTGAGTGGATTGCCTGAGCCCGTAGGTTCGAGACCCGCCCGGGCAACTTGGCGAGACCTCATCTCTACAATAAATCAAAAAATCAGCCGGGCATGGTAGCGCGCACCTGTAATTCCAGCTACTCGGAAGGCTGAGGCAGAAGGATCGTCGGAGCCCAGCAGGTCGAGGCTGCGGTGGCCGGAAGCGGCCACTGCAGTCCAGTCTGGGCGACAGAGTGAGACTCCAACTCAAAAAAAAAAAGTTTGATTATTAAGATGAGGATCGTGCAGGGCCTGAGGACCTGCATTTCAGCGTTTCTTTGTGAGACTTCCACATGCTGGTTGATGTGCCTGTAAGCAGCCATTAAGGATGTGTTTACCCTGCCAGGGCTGTTCCAGGAACTTCACATGCATGAATTCATCTTCACAACTCTTGGGAGGCTGGCACTAGTGTCTCCATTTTACAAATGAGAAAACTGAGCCTAGTGACATAACTAGCCAGGGACGGAGGAGACAGGTTTCAACACGAACAACTGGCCTCAGACTTCAAGCTCATGGCCACTCTCCTCTCCTGCCTTTATATAAACAGCTTCCCACTCAGGTGGCATGACAGTGAGTTTGGAGGGAAAGTGAAGTCAATTTGGAGTGGTGGGAGCTGAGAGGAAGACTTTAGATGTTAGGATTTAACTTGTTAGAACTAAATGTGAGGATGGGTGTGGTGGCTCACGCCTGTAATCCCAGCAATTTTGGAGGCTGAGGCTAGAGATTGCTTGAGGCCAGGAGTTCGACACCAGCCTGGGCAACAGAGTGAGACCTCATCTCTA